CAGGAGAAGAACCACTCGGAAATTTAAATTCTCGTTTTCTTGAGTGAATTTGTTAAATTATTTATGATACGTTAATCAATAGACACAACAGCAGACTCCCGTTTTCTGTATGTTGCGTTAACAACATTGTGAGAGGTGTTGGAGTTTCTCCCCACCACCACCACTGCTACAACTATCACCACCACCACCACCACCACTGCTACAACTATCACCATCACAATACCCCTGGAGGCACCATGGGAGGTGCGGCGCGGCCACCATGGGAGGTGCGGCGCGGCCACCATGGGAGGTGCGGCGCGGCCACCATGGGAGGTGCGGCGCGGCCACCATGGGAGGTGCGGCGCGGCCACCATGGGAGGTGCGGCGCGGCCACCATGGGAGGTGCGGCGCGGCCACCATGGGAGGTGCGGCGCGGCCACCATGGGAGGTGCGGCGCGGCCACCATGGGAGGTGCGGCGCGGCCACCATGGGAGGTGCGGCGCGGCCACCATGGGAGGTGCGGCGCGGCCACCATGGGAGGTGCGGCGCGGCCACCATGGGAGGTGCGGCGCGGCCACCATGGGAGGTGCGGCGCGGCCACCATGGGAGGTGCGGCGCGGCCACCATGGGAGGTGCGGCGCGGCCACCATGGGAGGTGCGGCGCGGCCACCATGGGAGGTGCGGCGCGGCCACCATGGGAGGTGCGGCGCGGCCACCATGGGAGGTGCGGCGCGGCCACCATGGGAGGTGCGGCGCGGCCACCATGGGAGGTGCGGCGCGGCCACCATGGGAGGTGCGGCGCGGCCACCATGGGAGGTGCGGCGCGGCCACCATGGGAGGTGCGGCGCGGCCACCATGGGAGGTGCGGCGCGGCCACCATGGGAGGTGCGGCGCGGCCACCATGGGAGGTGCGGCGCGGCCACCATGGGAGGTGCGGCGCGGCCACCATGGGAGGTGCGGCGCGGCCACCATGGGAGGTGCGGCGCGGCCACCATGGGAGGTGCGGCGCGGCCACCATGGGAGGTGCGGCGCGGCCACCATGGGAGGTGCGGCGCGGCCACCATGGGAGGTGCGGCGCGGCCACCATGGGAGGTGCGGCGCGGCCACCATGGGAGGTGCGGCGCGGCCACCATGGGAGGTGCGGCGCGGCCACCATGGGAGGTGCGGCGCGGCCACCATGGGAGGTGCGGCGCGGCCACCATGGGAGGTGCGGCGCGGCCACCATGGGAGGTGCGGCGCGGCCACCATGGGAGGTGCGGCGCGGCCACCATGGGAGGTGCGGCGCGGCCACCATGGGAGGTGCGGCGCGGCCACCATGGGAGGTGCGGCGCGGCCACCATGGGAGGTGCGGCGCGGCCACCATGGGAGGTGCGGCGCGGCCACCATGGGAGGTGCGGCGCGGCCACCATGGGAGGTGCGGCGCGGCCACCATGGGAGGTGCGGCGCGGCCACCATGGGAGGTGCGGCGCGGCCACCATGGGAGGTGCGGCGCGGCCACCATGGGAGGTGCGGCGCGGCCACCATGGGAGGTGCGGCGCGGCCACCATGGGAGGTGCGGCGCGGCCACCATGGGAGGTGCGGCGCGGCCACCATGGGAGGTGCGGCGCGGCCACCATGGGAGGTGCGGCGCGGCCACCATGGGAGGTGCGGCGCGGCCACCATGGGAGGTGCGGCGCGGCCACCATGGGAGGTGCGGCGCGGCCACCATGGGAGGTGCGGCGCGGCCACCATGGGAGGTGCGGCGCGGCCACCATGGGAGGTGCGGCGCGGCCACCATGGGAGGTGCGGCGCGGCCACCATGGGAGGTGCGGCGCGGCCACCATGGGAGGTGCGGCGCGGCCACCATGGGAGGTGCGGCGCGGCCACCATGGGAGGTGCGGCGCGGCCACCATGGGAGGTGCGGCGCGGCCACCATGGGAGGTGCGGCGCGGCCACCATGGGAGGTGCGGCGCGGCCACCATGGGAGGTGCGGCGCGGCCACCATGGGAGGTGCGGCGCGGCCACCATGGGAGGTGCGGCGCGGCCACCATGGGAGGTGCGGCGCGGCCACCATGGGAGGTGCGGCGCGGCCACCATGGGAGGTGCGGCGCGGCCACCATGGGAGGTGCGGCGCGGCCACCATGGGAGGTGCGGCGCGGCCACCATGGGAGGTGCGGCGCGGCCACCATGGGAGGTGCGGCGCGGCCACCATGGGAGGTGCGGCGCGGCCACCATGGGAGGTGCGGCGCGGCCACCATGGGAGGTGCGGCGCGGCCACCATGGGAGGTGCGGCGCGGCCACCATGGGAGGTGCGGCGCGGCCACCATGGGAGGTGCGGCGCGGCCACCATGGGAGGTGCGGCGCGGCCACCATGGGAGGTGCGGCGCGGCCACCATGGGAGGTGCGGCGCGGCCACCATGGGAGGTGCGGCGCGGGGGAGGTGCGGCGCGGCCACCATGGGAGGGGAGGTGCGGCGCGGCCACCATGGGAGGGGAGGTGCGGCGCGGCCACCATGGGAGGGGAGGTGCGGCGCGGCCACCATGGGAGGGGAGGTGCGGCGCGGCCACCATGGGAGGGGAGGTGCGGCGCGGCCACCATGGGAGGGGAGGTGCGGCGCGGCCACCATGGGAGGGGAGGTGCGGCGCGGCCACCATGGGAGGGGAGGTGCGGCGCGGCCACCATGGGAGGGGAGGTGCGGCGCGGCCACCATGGGAGGGGAGGTGCGGCGCGGCCACCATGGGAGGGGAGGTGCGGCGCGGCCACCATGGGAGGGGAGGTGCGGCGCGGCCACCATGGGAGGGGAGGTGCGGCGCGGCCACCATGGGAGGTGCGGCGCGGGGGAGGTGCGGCGCGGCCACCATGGGAGGGGAGGTGCGGCGCGGCCACCATGGGAGGGGAGGTGCGGCGCGGCCACCATGGGAGGGGAGGTGCGGCGCGGCCACCATGGGAGGGGAGGTGCGGCGCGGCCACCATGGGAGGGGAGGTGCGGCGCGGCCACCATGGGAGGGGAGGTGCGGCGCGGCCACCATGGGAGGGGAGGTGCGGCGCGGCCACCATGGGAGGGGAGGTGCGGCGCGGCCACCATGGGAGGGGAGGTGCGGCGCGGCCACCATGGGAGGGGAGGTGCGGCGCGGCCACCATGGGAGGGGAGGTGCGGCGCGGCCACCATGGGAGGGGAGGTGCGGCGCGGCCACCATGGGAGGGGAGGTGCGGCGCGGCCACCATGGGAGGGGAGGTGCGGCGCGGCCACCATGGGAGGGGAGGTGCGGCGCGGCCACCATGGGAGGGGAGGTGCGGCGCGGCCACCATGGGAGGGGAGGTGCGGCGCGGCCACCATGGGAGGGGAGGTGCGGCGCGGCCACCATGGGAGGGGAGGTGCGGCGCGGCCACCATGGGAGGGGAGGTGCGGCGCGGCCACCATGGGAGGGGAGGTGCGGCGCGGCCACCATGGGAGGGGAGGTGCGGCGCGGCCACCATGGGAGGGGAGGTGCGGCGCGGCCACCATGGGAGGTGGGGCGCGGCCACCATGAGAGGTGTGGCGACGCTCCTCAAGAGTATCATGTGACTGTGTGTTGAGGTGATCCCAGGGTCGCCCACGCTAATGTTAGGGGAGTTAAGCCTGGCACTTGTTCCCTGATGGCTTAACACTGTGTACACACACACACACACACACACACACACACACACACACACACACACGGAAGCTGCCCCTGTAGGCTGTCCATGGAAGCTGCCCCTGGAGGCTGTCCATGGAAGGTGCCGTTGGAGGCTGTCCATGGAAGGTGCCGTTGGAGGCTGCCCCTGGAGGCTGTCCCTGGAGGCTGTCCATGGAAGGTGCCGTTGGAGGCTGCCCCTGGAGGCTGTCCCTGGAGGCTGCCCCTGGAGGCTGTCCATGGAAGGTGCCGTTGGAGGCTGCCCCTGGAGGCTGCCCCTGGAGGCTGCCCCTGGAAGCTGCCCCTGGAGGCTGCCCCTGGAGGCTGCCCCTGGAAGCTGCCCCTGGAGGCTGCCCCTGGAGGCTGTCCCTGGAGGCTGCCCCTGGAGGCTGTCCATGGAAGCTGCCCCTGGAGGCTGCCCCTGGAGGCTGTCCATGGAAGGTGCCGTTGGAGGCTGCCCCTGGAGGCTGCCCCTGGAGGCTGCCCCTGGAGGCTGCCCCTGGAGGCTGTCCATGGAAGCTGCCCCTGGAGGCTGCCCCTGGAGGCTGTCCATGGAAGCTGCCCCTGGAAGCTGCCCCTGGAGGCTGTCCCTGGAGGAAGCCTCCTGGGGCTTCTTTTCTCGTTTTGCTCTATTTTTTTCTCCTACTCTTTCTGCTCTACTAGTAGCCATGTACCTAATTTCTCAAACATTCAAATTCTTTGTCGATGGAGGTGGCTTCCAAAACTTCCTCCTGTAGTGCATTCCACTTGTTAACAACCTGTACAGGGCACGAGTACTTTCTTACGTCTCTTCTGCTCGTTGACGTTTCCAACGTCTACCTGTATTGTGTTGTCCTACTTTCTCTCAGTCTGAAGACGCTGGCCTTGTTTACCTTATCTATTCCCCTCAGTATCTTGTATGTTGTAATCATATCCTCTCTGTTCCTTTTATGCTCTAGGGTTGTGACATTCCATTATCCTTCGTTCGTAGCTTAACCTTCTAAGCTCTGGCACTAATATTGATGCAAACCTCTGCACTTATTGAAATTCTGGCATTATGAGGGCCTCGTAGCCTGGTGGATAGCGCGCAGGACTCGTAATTCTGTGGCGCGGGTTCGATTCCCGCACGAGGCAGAAACAAATGGGCAAAGTTTCTATCACCCTGAATGCCCCTGTTACCTAGCAGTAAATAGGTACCTGGGAGTTAGTCAGCTGTCACGGGCTGCTTCCTGGGGGTGGAGGACTGGTCGAGGACCGGGCCGCGGGGACACTAAAAGCCCCGAAATCATCTCAAGATAACCTCAAATTAGATGTTTCAAAAGGTGTTGAGTCCATGCCAGTGCTGCGTATTCCAGTATTTGTCGAACAAAAGTTGTGAAGATTGCTTTCAAGGAGCCCTGAATTAACTTTCTAAACGAAGTTCTTATATTTTGCCAACGTCTCGTATGCTGCCGATGTTATCCTGTTTACGTGTGTCTCCGGCGTGAGTGTTGGAGACATGAACACTCCCGGAGCCTTCTCTCGTTCCGATTCATTCTTGACAAAATCTTTAGAACATCTGTAAATACAAGGTCCTTAAATCACATGAGTTCCCTCAAGGAGCCTCAGGAATACATTAGGAGCGAAGTTGTTATATATCGTCCTTCTTGAACGACGGCGACTGTTGGAGACTCTTAGTCGTGTGCAGAGACTCTCCCAGCCGTGTGGAGAGAGAGAGACTCTCCCAGCCGTGTGGAGAGAGAGAGAGACTCTCCCAGCCGTGTGGAGAGAGAGAGAGACTCTCCCAGCCGTGTGGAGAGAGAGAGACTCTCCCAGCCGTGTGGAGAGAGAGACTCTCCCAGCCGTGTGGAGAGAGAGACTCTCCCAGCCGTGTGGAGAGAGAGACTCTCCCAGCCGTGTGGAGAGAGAGAGACTCTCCCAGCCGTGTGGAGAGAGAGAGAGACTCTCCCAGCCGTGTGGAGAGAGAGAGACTCTCCCAGCCGTGTGGAGAGAGAGAGACTCTCCCAGCCGTGTGGAGAGAGAGAGACTCTCCCAGCCGTGTGGAGAGAGAGAGACTCTCCCAGCCGTGTGGAGAGAGAGAGACTCCCAGCCGTGTGGAGAGAGAGACTCCCAGCCGTGTGGAGAGAGAGACTCCCAGCCGTGTGGAGAGAGAGACTCCCAGCCGTGTGGAGAGAGACTCCCAGCCGTGTGGAGAGAGACTCCCAGCCGTGTGGAGAGAGACTCCCAGCCGTGTGGAGAGAGACTCCCAGCCGTGTGGAGAGAGACTCCCAGCCGTGTGGAGAGAGACTCCCAGCCGTGTGGAGAGACTCTCAGCCGTGTGGAGAGAGACTCAGCCGTGTGGAGAGACTCTCAGCCGTGTGGAGAGAGACTCAGCCGTGTGGAGAGAGACTCTCAGCCGTGTGGAGAGACTCTCAGCCGTGTGGAGAGAGACTCTCAGCCGTGTGGAGAGACTCTCAGCCGTGTGGAGAGACTCCCAGCCGTGTGGAGAGACTCTCAGCCGTGTGGAGAGACTCTCAACGTTCCGTTCTCAGCGAGCCACTAAACACACTGAAGAATTATAACCCAAACAAATTCTTCATGATTGTGATACCAAAACAAACCATATATGAGATGTCAGTAACTCCACCTTATTTTGCAGTAGCCATAGAGAGTATGTCTATACCCTGCACCAGGCCCTGATTCCTGGAACTCCATATTCACCAAGAACTGTAAAAAACTACTATTGCAGGTCCTAATCTTTTTCCGGAGATGAAGACTAGATGCTGGTGAAATAAAATATCCCTGACTTGCTGAAAACAACAGAAATAGCACCACTCCATATAAGAGGGAATAAAGCAGAGGCATAAAGCTATAGGCCGATAAGATCATAAAACACATAGAATCTCAGCGTCTATATAACCCTAGACAACATGGTTTCAGAACAGGGCGCTCTTGCCTGTCACAGTTGCTGGACTACTATGCTATGGCCTTAGATGCCATGAAAGAGTAAGAAAAGGCTGACGTAATTTACTCAGATTTCGCAAAAGCCTTCGACAAATGCGACCATGGTGTTATTGCACACAAAATGCGTTTAAAAGGAATTACCGGAAAAACAGGCAGATTTCCTACAGTTTCCTGACAAACAGAACCCAATATGTAGTAGTCAACAAAGTAAAATCCGGACCATCAACCGTGAAGAGCTCAGTCCCCCAGGGTACTGTGCTTGCTCCAGTACTTTTTCTCATCCTCATATCGGACATAGACAAGGACACAACCTATAGTACTGTATCATCCTTTGCAGATGACACTAAGATTTTCATGAGAGTAGGCAACATTGACCTGATTTACTCCAAGAAGCAGCATACAACGGTTTGCTGCTTCCTGAAGTAAATCAGGTCTTTCAATGGGTCACACAAAATAATATGGTATTTAATAAAAAAAGTTCCAGCTCCTGAGCTATGAAAAAAAATGAAAATTTAATTATGGAAACCACGTACAAAACGCAGTCAAGTCTTACCATAGAACGTAAAAGCAATGTAAAGGATTTGGGTGTACTCATGTCGGAAGACGTTTCATTAAAAAAAAAAAAACAATAAAGTAGCCGTCACAACTGCAAGAAAATGACAGGTTGGATAACAAGAACCTTTTAATCAAGAGATGCTATACCAATGAAGGAACTTTTCAAGACGTTAGTGCTCTCTAGGGTGGAATACTGTTGCACAATAACAGCCTCTTTAAAAGCTGGAGATATTGTTGACCTGTAGAGCATTCAGATATCGTTTACTATCAGAATTCACTCAATTAACCATATAAATTACTGGAACCCATTAAAATGCGTAAATATGTATTCAATAGAGCGCAGGCAGGATACATAATATACCGCCTGATACATAATAATTTACACGTGGAAAATATTAGAGGGGCTGGTACCACACCTGGCTGGGTCGGCCGCCCACCACTGTAATGGGGCGGTGAAGCGAGTGCCGTCGTCCACCCTCGCCCATCTGGGCCACCAAAGAACTTCTGTAGGCGTCGTAGTGGGCGGACGACGACAGCCCGCCCAGACCCACCAGGAGGTTCCTAGGTGGGTTGCTCGGGTGGGCATTTGAGAGGTGATCGACACTAAAGGAGGTGGGCGGTTGTCATGGAGGTGGGCTGAGGGCGGCTGTCCTGTAGGTGCTGCGGGTGGGCCAAGGGTGACGGCCTGCGTCAGGTGGGCGGTGGGCAGGAGCCCAGGATAATAAGTGGGTGGATAACTGCGGTAAAGTTGGAGGCAAGACTACTGTAAACTGCGGCAAGCACTACCTTGCTTGCTGGTAGCAGTGCGGTTGACGCCAGACCACTTGACAACACCCCAGGGAGAGACCCGAGCGGCCCCCTCCCGAGACCAGCGGCGGCGTACGGCGCCAGCCGAAGCGGCACAGGTCGTGGTTCTTGACGGGCTGCTCTGATGCGTGGGCAGGAACGGCGTTGAGGACGGCCTCCGACAGGAGTGAGCTGATGGAGAAGGAATGTTTGAGGGGCGTGCGGGCCATGTTGCTGCTGCTGCTGCCGTACGCCTCACCACAACCCAAGTTCACCATGCTATTAACCCCACTAACAAATATAAATTTCTCAACGTGGAAGTTTACGCTACCAATGTTTGCCACTTGTTACAGAGAGCCACGCACCAGGAGAGATCAACCAGGTATCAACCAGAGAGCCACGCACCAGGAGAGATCAACCAGGTATCAACCAGAGAGCCACGCACCAGGAGAGATCAACCAGGTATCAACCAGAGAGCCACGCACCAGGAGAGATCAACCAGGTATCAACCAGAGAGCCACGCACCAGGAGAGATCAACCAGGTATCAACCAGAGAGCCACGCACCAGGAGAGATCAACCAGGTATCAACCAGAGAGCCACGCACCAGGAGAGATCAACCAGGTATCAACCAGAGAGCCACGCACCAGGAGAGATCAACCAGGTATCAACCAGAGAGCCACGCACCAGGAGAGATCAACCAGGTATCAACCAGAGAGCCACGCACCAGGAGAGATCAACCAGGTATCAACCAGAGAGCCACGCACCAGGAGAGATCAACCAGGTATCAACCAGAGAGCCACGCACCAGGAGAGATCAACCAGGTATCAACCAGAGAGCCACGCACCAGGAGAGATCAACCAGGTATCAACCAGAGAGCCACGCACCAGGAGAGATCAACCAGGTATCAACCAGAGAGCCACGCACCAGGAGAGATCAACCAGGTATCAACCAGAGAGCCACGCACCAGGAGAGATCAACCAGGTATCAACCAGAGAGCCACGCACTCCCGCGCCGCGACCTGCAGGCAACTGATGACTTCTACCGTTGTTCTTGTGTTTGTTTTAGATTTAGCTACTCGGAAAAAAGTTATAAATAGCACGGGCTAAGGTGATCCCGCAAGTGGAGGCTCTTTGGAGCCATTATCTGTATCAATAGCCGATACTTGAGATCTGGGGATGGGACCCGTGGACGCGCCAATCCAATCTAAGATTATAAGGCAGACCATTAAATTATAGTAAGTATAATGTATATATATGTATGTATGTATATATGTATATGTATGTATGTGTATATATGTATGTAAGTATAAACCAGGAGGCCTGGTCAAAGACCGAGCCCCGGGGACCTTGACCCCTTGAATCAACGCAGGTAACCAAAAGGTAACTTATAAACCTCTGGAGGGTTTTTATAGCCTAACAACCTCTCTAGGGTTATCACGGCCTAACAACCTCTCTAGGGTTATCACGGCCTATTAACCTCTCTAGGGTTATCACGGCCTATTAACCTCTCTAGGGTTATCACGGCCTATTAACCTCTCTAGGGTTATCACGGCCTATTAACCTCTCTAGGGTTATCACGGCCTATTAACCTCTCTAGGGTTATCACGGCCTAACAACCTCTCTAGGGTTATCACGGCCTATTAACCTCTCTAGGGTTATCACGGCCTATTAACCTCTCTAGGGTTATCACGGCCTATTAACCTCTCTAGGGTTATCACGGCCTATTAACCACTCTAGGGTTATCACGGCCTATTAACCTCTCTAGGGTTATCACGGCCTATTAACCTCTCTAGGGTTATCACGGCCTATTAACCACTCTAGGGTTATCACGGCCTATTAACCTCTCTAGGGTTATCACGGCCTATTAACCTCTCTAGGGTTATCATGGCCTATTAACCACTCTAGGGTTATCACGGCCTATTAACCCCTCTAGGGTTATCACGGCCTATTAACCCCTCTAGGGTTATCACGGCCTATTAACCTCTCTAGGGTTATCACGGCCTATTAACCTCTCTAGGGTTATCACGGCCTATTAACCTCTCTAGGGTTATCACGGCCTATTAACCTCTCTAGGGTTATCACGGCCTATTAACCTCTCTAGGGTTATCACGGCCTATTAACCTCTCTAGGGTTATCACGGCCTATTAACCTCTCTAGGGTTATCACGGCCTAACAACCTCTCTAGGGTTATCACGGCCTATTAACCTCTCTAGGGTTATCACGGCCTATTAACCTCTCTAGGGTTATCACGGCCTATTAACCTCTCTAGGGTTATCACGGCCTATTAACCTCTCTAGGGTTATCACGGCCTATTAACCACTCTAGGGTTATCACGGCCTATTAACCTCTCTAGGGTTATCATGGCCTATTAACCACTCTAGGGTTATCACGGCCTATTAACCCCTCTAGGGTTATCACGGCCTATTAACCTCTCTAGGGTTATCACGGCCTATTAACCTCTCTAGGGTTATCACGGCCTATTAACCTCTCTAGGGTTATCACGGCCTATTAACCTCTCTAGGGTTATCACGGCCTATTAACCTCTCTAGGGTTATCACGGCCTATTAACCTCTCTAGGGTTATCACGGCCTATTAACCTCTCTAGGGTTATCACGGCCTATTAACCTCTCTAGGGTTATCACGGCCTATTAACCTCTCTAGGGTTATCACGGCCTATTAACCTCTCTAGGGTTATCACGGCCTATTAACCTCTCTAGGGTTATCACGGCCTATTAACCTCTCTAGGGTTATCACGGCCTATTAACCTCTCTAGGGTTATCACGGCCTATTAACCTCTCTAGGGTTATCACGGCCTATTAACCTCTCTAGGGTTATCACGGCCTATTAACCTCTCTAGGGTTATCACGGCCTATTAACCTCTCTAGGGTTATCACGGCCTATTAACCTCTCTAGGGTTATCACGGCCTATTAACCTCTCTAGGGTTATCACGGCCTATTAACCTCTCTAGGGTTATCACGGCCTATTAACCTCTCTAGGGTTATCACGGCCTAACAACCTCTCTAGGGTTATCACGGCCTAACAACCTCTCTAGGGTTATCACGGTCTATTAACCTCTCTAGGGTTATCATGGCCTATTAACCTCTCTAGGGTTATCACGGCACGAAAATAGGTATACTGACCAACCATCAAGTATACCTTAGTCTTGAGTATAATACAAGAGTACAGAATACATAGAGTATACCCAGGCTGAGAAGTAGAGTATATTTGACTATTAATTTTCCTTCTCCAAGATGTGTCACCTCTCTTATGGTCAGGTTACAATTGTCTTAAGATATTGCTTTTATTTTTATTCGTGTATATATATATATATATATATATATATATATATATATATATATATATATATATATATATATATATATATTATATATATCGTACCTAGCAGCCAGAACGTACTTCTTGGCCTACTATGCAAGGCCCGATTTGCCTAATAGGCCAAGTGATATTCTTTATTTTCAAAAAATGGTTTCCAATAGGTTTATTTCAATTATTATTATTATAATATATTAAGAACATAAATTATTGACTTAGTTATGTTAGCTTAGATTAGGTTCGGTCATTTATCTACGTTAGTTTTAAGTCGAATTAAAAAAAAATTAACTCATAACGAAATGGATAGTTTTATCATTTCAGAGGCAAATTAAAAAAAAATCTATATAAATTCAGGAAAACTTGGCTTATTAGGCACAAGGGCCTTGCATAGAAGGCCGAGTACTGCGTTCTGGCTACTAGGTACAACATATTAAATATATATATATATATATATATATGTATTCCACAACAAGGAAAGGCTGAAGGAGGAAGACAAAAATACAAGTTCTACATAGGATAATACATATATTTTATTATAAAAAATACAACATGATTTTTTGTCCAACAACTCATTAATAAAATCTTTGGTCTGGAGTTTACACGGAGAATAGTGATCAGGGAGTATTATTTACAGTCTGATGGGAACAGTGTAGTACTGTAATATAAATTAATGTTGCTATATAAATTAGCACTATGTACATTGTTATACACATGTTGGGGAGCAGCAGCTGGGAGGAGCGGTCATGGTGACAGGTAATTACAGGTGTTTGATCTTCTGGAGCTGTGAGGGGCTTGGTGACGGCGTGCTCCAGTGGTGAGTGACGCCTTACCAAGTGGGAGTTACCAAGTGGTAACCCCCACACACACTTGGGGTTACCAAGTGGTAACCCCCACACACACTTGGGGTTACCAAGTGGTAACCACCACACACACTTCGGGGTGGACTTCCAAGTGGAAATTTTAGGAACAATTGAATAAAGAGTTCCACTGGCAGCAATGTTTACAATCTCCACCATCATCACACAGTCACTCACGTGCTCCGGAGGTCGGCCCCCTGGAGTGTGTCGGGTCCCTGGAGGAGTGTGTCGGGTCCCTGGAGGAGTGTGTCGGGTCCCTGGAGGAGTGTGACGGTGACGGGTCCCTGGAGGAGTGTGACGGTGTCGGGTCCCTGGAGGAGTGTGACGGTGGAGGCTGGTGACGGGACCCTGGAGGAGTGTGACGGTGACGGGTCCCTGGAGGATTGTGACGGTGACGGGTCCCTGGAGGATTGTGACGGTGGAAGCTGGTGTCGGGTCCCTGGAGGAGTGTGACGGTGGAGGCCGGTGACGGGTCCCTGGAGGAGTGTGACGGTGACGGGTCCCTGGAGGAGCGTGACGGTGGAAGCCGGTGTCGGGTCCCTGGAGGAGTGTGACGGTGGAGGCTGGTGACGGGACCCTGGAGGAGTGTGACGGTGACGGGTCCCTGGAGGAGTGTGACGGTGACGGGTCCCTGGAGGAGTGTGACGGTGACGGGTCCCTGGAGGAGTGCGACGGTGACGGGTCCCTGGAGGAGTGTGACGGTGACGGGTCCCTGGAGGAGTGTGACGGTGACGGGTCCCTGGAGGAGTGTGACGGTGACGGGTCCCTGGAGGAGTGTGACGGTGACGGGTCCCTGGAGGAGTGTGACGGTGACGGGTCCCTGGAGTGTGACGGTGACGGGTCCCTGGAGGAGTGTGACGGTGACGGGTCCCTGGAGGAGTGTGACGGTGACGGGTCCCTGGAGGAGTGTGACGGTGACGGGTCCCTGGAGGAGTGTGACGGTGACGGGTCCCTGGAGGAGTGTGACGGTGACGGGTCCCTGGAGGAGTGTGACGGTGGAGGGTCCCTGGAGGAGTGTGACGGTGACGGGTCCCTGGAGGAGTGTGACGGTGACGGGTCCCTGGAGGAGTGTGACGGTGGAGGGTCCCTGGAGGAGTGTGACGGTGTCGGGTCCCTGGATGAGTGTGACGGTGGAGGCCGGTGACGGGTCCCTGGAGGAGTGTGACGGTGGAGGGTCCCTGGAGGAGTGTGACGGTGGAGGGTCCCTGGAGGAGTGTGACGGTGACGGGTCCCTGGAGGAGTGTGACGGTGACGGGTCCCTGGAGGAGTGTGACGGTGGAGGCCGGTGACGGGTCCCTGGAGGAGTGTGACGGTGACGGGTCCCTGGAGGAGTGTGACGGTGGAGGCCGGTGACGGGTCCCTGGAGGAGTGTGACGGTGACGGGTCCCTGGAGGAGTGTGACGGTGGAGGCCGGTGTCGGGTCCCTGAAGGAGTGTGACGGTGGAGGCCGGTGACGGGTCCCTGGAGGAGTGTGACGGTGACGGGTCCCTGGAGGAGTGTGACGGTGACGGGTCCCTGGAGGAGTGTGACGGGTCCCTGGAGGAGTGTGACGGGTCCCTGGAGGAGTGTGACGGGTCCCTGGAGGAGTGTGACGGGTCCCTGGAGGAGTGTGACGGTGACGGGTCCCTGGAGGAGTGTGACGGTGACGGGTCCCTGGAGGAGTGTGACGGTGACGGGTCCCTGGAGGAGTGTGACGGTGACGGGTCCCTGGAGGAGTGTGACGGTGACGGGTCCCTGGAGGAGTGTGACGGTGACGGGTCCCTGGAGGAGTGTGACGGTGACGGGTCCCTGGAGGAGTGTGACGGTGACGGGTCCCTGGAGGAGTGTGACGGTGACGGGTCCCTGGAGGAGTGTGACGGTGACGGGTCCCTGGAGGAGTGTGACGGTGACGGGTCCCTGGAGGAGTGTGACGGTGGAGGCTGGTGACGGGTCCCTGGAGTGTGACGGTGACGGGTCCCTGGAGGAGTGTGACGGTGACGGGTCCCTGGAGGAGTATGACGGTGACGGGTCCCTGGAGGAGTGTGACGGTGGAGGCTGGTGACGGGTCCCTGGAGGAGTGTGACGGTGACGGGTCCCTGGAGGAGTATGACGGTGACGGGTCCCTGGAGGAGTGTGACGGTGACGGGTCCCTGGAAGAGTGTGACGGTGGAGGCCGGTGACGGGTCCCTGGAGGAGTGTGACGGTGGAGGCTGGTGACGGGTCCTGGAGTGTGACGGTGACGGGTCCCTGGAGGAGTGTGACGGTGACGGGTCCCTGGAGGAGTGTGACGGTGACGGGTCCCTGGAGGAGTGTGACGGTGACGGGTCCCTGGAGGAGTGTGACGGTGACGGGTCCCTGGAGGAGTGTGACGGTGGAGGCTGGTGACGGGTCCCTGGAGGAGTGTGACGGTGACGGGTCCCTGGAGGAGTGTGACGGTGACGGGTCCCTGGAGGAGTGTGACGGTGACGGGTCCCTGGAGGAGTGTGACGGTGACGGGTCCCTGGAGGAGTGTGACGGTGGAGGCCGGTGTCGGGTCCCTGGAGGAGTGTGACGGTGGAGGCTGGTGACGGGTCCCTGGAGGAGTGTGACGGTGACGGGTCCCTGGAGGAGTGTGACGGTGACGGGTCCCTGGAGGAGTGTGACGGTGACGGGTCCCTGGAGGAGTGTGACGGTGACGGGTCCCTGGAGGAGTGTGACGGTGACGGGTCCCTGGAAGAGTGTGACGGTGGAGGCCGGTGTCGGGTCCCTGGAGGAGTGTGACGGGTCCCTGGAGGAGTGTGACGGTGACGGGTCCCTGGAGGAGTGTGACGGTGACGGGTCCCTGGAGGAGTGTGACGGCAGGCGGGTGTGGGAGACAGTGACGGGGATGAAGGGGGGGGGGGGTGATCGCTCACGCTCAGCTCAGGTATTCTGGAATAATGAAACACATCACACTCTTTCCTCCTTAACACTTGGCTCAGTAGTATATAGCTTGGAAGAAAATATTCATTGATAAAAGCAACTTCTAATTACCTTGTTAAAGTAGAGTATCTAAGCCAGCGAAGTCGGGTGAGGATGTTGAGGCGTGGGCGGTGACCGGGTTGCGGGCGTGGAGAGTGTGCGTGTATGGGCGGCTGGGTTGTGAGCGCCTCCACCCAGCTGAAGGCGCGGGCGAGGTGTGGGCGGTGTCACTAAGTTAGCTGGGTCGGCCGCCCACCACTGTAATGGGGCGGTGAAGCGAATGCCGTCGTCCACCCTCGCCCATCTGGGCCACCAAAGAACTTCTGTAGGCGTCGTAGTGGGCGGACGACGACAGCCCGCCCAGACCCACCAGGAGGTTCCTAGGTGGGTTGCTCGGGTGGGCATCTGAGAGAAGGTGATCGACACTGAAGGAGGTGGGCGGTTGTTGTGTAGGTGGGCTGAGGGCGGTGGGCTTGGACAAGCCTGTGGGTGCTGCGGTTGGGCCAGGGGAGACGGCCTGCGTCAGGTGGGCGGTGGGCAGGAGCCCAGGATAATAAGTGGGTGGATAACTGCGGTAAAGTGCTGCTGCCGCGGCTGCGGCAGAAGCTTGCTGATAGAGTGCGGTTGACGCCAGACCACTTGACAACGCCCCTGGCAGAGACCCGAGCGGCCCCCCGAGACCAGCAGCGGCGGCGGCTGCGGCTGCGGCGTACGGCGCCAGCCCCAGCGGGGAGTAGCAGCCGAAGCGGCCGAGAAGGGACTGCTTGAAGGCGGCCAAGCGGTTGCGGGAAGCTGTGGTGGAGCGGCGCCGCAGCTTGCCCGTGGTGCTGCCGATGAAAACTTCCTCGGCCGAGGGGTCGAGCATCCAGTAGTTGCCCTTGCCCGGGTCGTCGTAGTGACGGGGAACCTTAACAAAACACTTGTTAAGACTCAAGTTGTGACGGATGGAGTTCTGCCAACCTTGTTTGTTCTCCCGGTAATACGGGAAGTTCTTCATGATGAACTCGTAGATGCCGCTCAGAGTAAGCCGCTTCTCGGGCGATGACCTGATGGCCATCATGATGAGGGCGTTGTAGCTGAAGTGCGGCTTCTCGTGCTTCTTCTTCTCTCCGTCTTCCTTCTTCATGTCCTTCTCGTCTTTTTCTTGCTGTTCCTCCACCTCCGAGTCAGACATGACCCCGGGTAGGGGACTCGCGGCGCCTGTCACGTCTATGTCCTCCTCGTCGTCTTCCACAGCAGCTGTCATCTCAAAATCTTGAAGGCAGAGGTCGTGGTTCTTGACGGGCTGCTCTGATGCGTGGGCAGGAACGGCGTTGAGGACGGCCTCCGACAGGAGTGAGCTGATGGAGAAGGAATGTTTGAGGGGCGTGCGGGCCATGTTGCTGCTGCTGCTGCCGTACGCCTCACCACAACCCAAGTTCACCATGCTATTAACCCCACTAACAAATATAAATTTCTCAACGTGGAAGTTTACGCTACCAATGTTTGCCACTTGTTACAGAGAGCCACGCACTCCCGCACCGCGACCTGCAGGCA